TTCAAAAATGTCAACTAATGCTAAGAATCCATCCACCATTTTAGGTTACTTTAACCCGAGATGGATCCTGATATCACATCCTTCTCTTAAACTATATATGTTAGCTCCCATAGAGCATAACTAAGATGGGTGTGACAAATTGTACATACCTCTGTTACTGTTGAAGGTAACTCAGAATACTTATATTTCTCTGAATTTTAAATATTGATAATCTTCACTAACGGGGTACCTCGTATCCTTCTTCACCCTACTTCTGTTACCTGTTGAAACTTGTACTTTTACCTTTTGATATTCCTATGGCCTGCTATTCTCGGGGTGTGTTAGATATTCCCATCTTAGGGTCTTAAGCAGGAAATTTGCACATCTGGTATGCATGATTTGATAAGGCCTCAAAGTGGGCCACGTCTTCAAGAACTCTCTCTCTCTCTATCTCTCTCTCTCTTTCTACTAGTGCCCTTACCTGCTGTTGTATAAGCCCTCTGGCTAGATGCAATATTTCTAAATGCAAGCATCTCTATATCATTAGCAAACATAAGTCATGACTCAAACTCTTATGACTCAGCTCTATAGCACAATTTGAATTTGAAAGAAGGTTAACAAACTCCTAAATTCCTTGCAGCTTCTTGTTTATATAATGTGGTGCACGACACATCTATAAACAAGACTCTACTAAAGATGGTTGATAGACTCCCTCGGACAGAACTACTCTAATATCAAGTTTGTCACGCCCCAAACCGAGGGAGACATAGTCGGCACCCGGTGCCATACTAGGCCCAAGCATACCACTTTATAACTGTGAACTCCATAGGGGTAGCCCTCAAATTAGGCGACGAGGCCTACCTGCAAGCTGATAATACCAATCAAGGCCGACGAGGCTATATTCTGAATCATCTGAAAAAAAATATCTATCTCATCTGAGGGGTGAACATACCCAAAAGCTCATATACATAACTGTGCAGGCCGACGAGGATGCCATGAACATCTACAACCAGCAATACCAAACTGAACATGTACAAAGGGCTAACAAGGCCACAATAGTGACATACAAAATATATAGGACTCGTCTACAAGCCTCTAGAGATAACATAACTATATCATGGTCGGGACAGGGCCTAGACCTACCCATCAAACCTTATACAAAATGGACTCCAAGTCTAGACCTGGTAACACCGGCGGAGCGGAGCTTACCAATCAAGCTGATATGTGGCTCTGTCTACTAGAAGATCTATCCAACTGTCTATCAGGACCTGCAGGCATCAAATGCAGCATCCTCGACAAAAGGGACGTCAGTACAAAATAATGTACCGAGTATGTAAGGCAATAGAATAACTGAAAACTTAAACTAAATTGATAGTATAATAACTGAAAGTAACTGGGAATCAAAGATGATCTGAAGATATGCTTACCTGTTGATTCTGACTCAACTATCTCAATATAGTAAGTAAAATAGCTATATGGCCCTATAAGGCTCGGTACGTATAACTGCTCGGCCATAGTAGGCTCGCTCATAGGCATTCGGCCATACTAGGCTCGGTATATAGCTTACCATCTGATAAGAGGTTGCCTAATAGGGACCTGCTTATCGATTATAGTTCGGCGGTGGTGAAAATACTGTAATACTGTATATATATATATAGATCATCTGCTCTTTTGACTAAAAGAAGACAATACTTAATTGAATATAAAGTCCCGATAAAGGATAATACAATAACTTATGAGACTAGGATAATGTGCATATATTCAAGAGTACGAACTTCTTTTTATGTCTTGTTATCAAACGTGTTTAGTTACTGGATCATGCCAAAATGAAGGAAAGATTTAGCCTTAACATACCTTAACCTCGTTGAGTCCTTAATACCTTCCAAGAAACTCTTCAAACAACTCAACTTAATCTACAATAGCATAAGGAGATTCATAATCAGTGTTGAGTGTTGGCCAATTAAGTACTCTCACACTCAGAAGATGCATGTTGCAGAGATAAGAATGCTGAGATAGATGTGTGAGTATACTAGGAGAGATATAATTAGGAATGAAGTTATTCGGGATAAGGTGGGGGTGATTCCAGTGGTTGACAAGATAAGGAAAGCAAGGCTAGATGGTTCGAGGAATATGAAGAGGAGATGCACAGATACCCATGTGAGGAGGTGTGAGAGGCTAGTGATTGTGGGTCTAAAGAGCGGTTTGGGAAGGCCGAAGAAGTATTGGGGAGAAGTAATTAGACCAGACATAACATATCTTCAGCTTACCGAGGATATGAACCTAATAGAAGGATCTGGAGGTCGAGAATTCAGGTAAAAGATTAGTAGGTAGCGGAGTTTGGGACACAATATTTGCAACATCATTTTATTTTCATGGTATTGTATCCTTAGACATCTATTAATACCTATTGTTACTCGTGCTTAGTTGGCTTATTGCTTTGTATTTTGCTAGGCTCAACGTAGCTTCTACACTTCTGTTTTTCTTTTCTAACCTGTTAGTAATATGTTTTTCTTAAGTCGAGGGTTTTCGGAAAACAATCTCTCTACCTCCACAAGATAGGAGTAAGGTATGCGTACACACTATCTTTCTCAAACCTCATATTGTGAGAATACACTGGGTATGTTATTGTTGTTGTTGTTGACTATTATATAGAAATACAGTTATAGAGAGGTCTGATTGTATTATTAATTTGTTTGGAATAAATAGTTGGTGTAAGCAAGTCTTTCTTTTCTTCTACAAATATGAGTTATTGCTTAAAAAAAATATCAGTAATTTTTGAAACTTATGTGTTAACAAATGGTAAGTTAAATGATTACATTATAACTATACTTGGTCAAAGAAGGGAATATTTGCTTCTCGATTTCTGCCCATTAGTCAAAAAGAAAAACAATTAGGAAAAATTGGAATTAGTAAAGAGATGTAAAGAAGCTGAGCATGGGCTGCCTAGATTTTAGCATTTAGGAAAATTGCATAGTAATTAGACACTAACCAAAGGAATATAATATTGCAACGACATTTTACCACGAGATTTATGGAAGTAAACTTTGATTTTATTTTTACCCGTTAATCATAGACCACTAATTCATCTAAAACTTCTTAATAAACGAGGTATATCTATTTTCACGGTTTATCACTAATAATAAATGATTTTCAACCCTACATTTACTCAATCAAGCTAGTATAAATTAACATCAAATCTTAGTTTCTTAACATAAAAATAAAAAGAAAAAGCCTCAATTACCTTCCATATTCCTCCAAAAGAAATCAAATAATCAAGAAATTTTCATTGCCAACAAACATTTAATTTCCATACAAGAAATTAAGACAATTGCATGGCAAGGAGATACGTGAATAATATTGTAGAAGTTGCACCAGCACGCTTTATTTCTCCTCGTAGGATTTCCAATGCTCCAAAATTAGAGACAATTGCAGAAGAAGAAATTAAAACTCATCAAGATTTTATCGATCAAAAAGTATTATATGTTCTTTTACTTTCCATTCTTGCTTATACATTGATTAACAGATACACTATGGTTTAATATATAGGAGGTCGAGTCGAACCCTTTTGTTCCAATTTTGATATTCATTTCTAATCATGATATTTTGTAATACTAAGTAAAAGGCTCGTGACTATCTACTTGTAAGGAGGTACAGTATGAAGTCAAGTTTGTTTTTCCTTTTAGTGTTTGAATTGCTAAGATATTACAGTTGATTTATCTCATGTTATTTTTTTGCTGTCATATTGTTTTTACATATATTAAGTCAACACTTCTCTAGATGAAGATGACAATGTCTTGTCAGATATTATAAGAGTAATCTAATGGTATCAAAATATACACAAATTGTATTATCATGGAAATTGACCTCTTGAACACCAACAGTAGCCTTTTCATAATCTTTCATATAAACTGTACAAAACAATATATGCTTACAAATAAATTATCAGCAAAAGGTACACTTGCTACATATCAAGACTCAAGTCACAGGCTGATTGTATGAATTGTTCGGAAATTCTGTAGTGTATACTTTTGATCTTTTTGCTCTGAAAATATCTGATATAACTTCATTTTATATACCAGGAGGTGTCTTTCATGGAAATCCATCTGCACATATAACATACATTCTATGGTTAACTAAATAACAAAGGACTAATGTATGCTACCTCTGTAAGTTCCCACTGCCATAGTACTTTTAAGTAAACATTCTATACTTGGAAAAAATACAACACAGATACCCTTGGATGATACCCTTGGATTAACTCCCTTAAGATGGATTTAGTCATTCAAGCAATCAAACCTTAAAAGATTGCACATACTCTCTCCATTCAATTTCATCAACCTATACTTTATTGACCATTTTAGAGGTAGAGGTAGGTCTAAGAAGTATTTGGGAGAAGTGATTAGGCAGGATATGGCGCAGTTTCAGCTTACTGAACATGACCCTCGATAGGAGCGTGTGGAGATCGAGAATTAGGGTAGAAGGTTAGTGGGTAGTCGAGCGTATTTCTATGTCGTACCAGTAGGTAGTAGTATTAGTCTTGTACTCTCGTATTCTTGGAGTTCTATTGGTACATGTTGTTTATTCACTTCGGTTAGCTTATTATCTTGTTGATATGTTACTGCTTGTTAATTTCTGCCCTTTTTGTCGTTTTCCTTGAGCCGAGAGTCTTCGGAAACAGCCTCTTTATCTTCACAAAGGTAGGGGGTAAGTCTGCATACACACTACCCTCCCCAGACTCACTTGCGGGATTACACTGGGTATGTTGTTGTTGTTATACTTTATTGACCATTTGGATGAAATTTGAATGTAGTAGAAGACTGAGAATTATCCGACTCATCTTGCAAATACATAACTAACTAGCTAGTTAGCTAACTTTTTATTGTTCACATTACATACTCAGCCAGAAGTAGCTAGGAATTTTGCTAAAGCATTTAGCCGCACCGGAAACTATTTACATTTGGTAGCCGAAAAACTGTATAAAATTTGTATAATTTTTGTATATAACTTACAGAATGTATATATATACAAAAATTATATATTTTTTTGACTATTATTTTGAGAATGGCTATACAGTGTCATTTTCCCAAAGCATTTCAACAACAAACTACTCAAGCAAATTTTGAAGATACATATAGGTCTTAGCATGCCAGCACAAATTACTGAAATGGTACCAAATTATTTGGGTTTATGATTTCAACACCCAATCATAGCCTTCATGAACACAATGCATCCTCTTAACAGATGTTCTACTGTTCTCATTATAAGAACTTCACTTAGTAAGGCCAAGCTTTTCAAAGAGGAATTTGTAATTTAGAAGTAGTAATACCTTCTAGTTTGACATGCCCTTCCAGTTCCAAGATAAATTTGTATCCCCATAAGGCCTGCATAAAGGGGAGCTCAAATCAAAGTCATGACAACATGCAGAAAAGGCTGAACAACCATGACGTCCAATGGGATGTACAACCTCTCAGTATCAGTAAACCAAAGGTAGGTTAATAATTCTGAGCACTTTTTACAGAAAAAATATACTAATCATTTGCAGTGAGCCAGATTTAAAACAATCTTAGGTGTCATGGGAAGTAAATAAAGAACGAAAAGCTAGCAATACGTCGAGCTGTCAGAACTCTTGGTTACCCAGCGGAAACTAAAACACAACCGTGTAGATACTCTATCAACAACCATCCACCCAATCTATCTACAATTGGAGGCAATCCCCTATTCCTCTTCCCAGCATCCCTTCAGCCAATACTTCTTATTCTTACATTTTCCTATCCTCCACTGCAAGAATCTCCAGCAAATCTGCGCCAGTTTGCAGGGCTCAGCCACTCAGCAAGGAGCATTCTTTTATTGAGCAAGAGTCAAGGATTAATAAATTGGCAGCCCCTCTCCAGCACAGTGTAATAGCTTGGTTCTTCACGGGTAACCAATAGTTAAACAAATGCGGAAAGTTCTGCAAAAAATTTGCATATTGTCACGGAAGGCGTATATTGATGAACTTCAAGGTTTTCACTGGTTATAGCATTTGAATCAGTGGTTTTTACTCAACACTCTATAGAAGTATTCAGGTGGGTTTTAGACAATGGAGCTGCCACAGAACCCAGATTGGATCTGATCTTGTTCGCTGCCAGATCTCCTAGTTTATCACTCCACTACTTCCTGCGTATACTTGTGACAGTGCAAGTGGAAATCCCAAAAATCCTGCACCCAGTGTAATCGTACAAGTGGGGTCTGCGAAGGGTAGTTTGTACGCAGACCTTACTAGAGAGGATGGTTTCAATAGACACTCGGCTCAAGAAAAAAAAAAAGATCTCAAAAATGTTCACATTTTAAATAGGATTTTGTATTTCTGCTTCCACTGTTATCTCTTGGCCAATCTCAACTGTTGGACACCCTAATATTCTTGCTGGTCAAGGATAGAGCATCACCGTCCTCGTCCCCTAACTCTCCCTCTCCCCACCATACACACACACACACACACACACTTAAATTCTCATGAATGGAAACATAGAAAATATAACCAATAAAGCTGCTTTAACTAGCATAACTGACATCCAGTTTCTTGTTATTGTACTTCAGATCTATCTTAATGCAAAACAGCATTCTCCTGCAATTTCACCTGTTTCTTAGATGGTGTAAATGGAAAACATAGGCATCTGTATTTCCGTTTCCTGAAGGGAAGAGGCAGGGGTGATGGGGTAGGAAGGATGCCCCACAATACACCACGAAGCTTATGTAAGTGCAGAACAAGATTTTGGCACATATAAAAGGGTGTCATGAAGCATTAATTTGTATATTGGCCCACATGAAGGTTTACCTTGGATTTTTCACATGAAGTAATAAGAAGACAAAAGCGAGGAAGATAAATGAAGAGCCGACAGCAATGTAGGACATTCCAAGGAAGTTATTCCGGCCACCAATCCAGCTGGTTGTTGAAAGAACAAGTTTCTTCCTTCCACCAAAACTGTAGGTGTTGTAGTTGTTTGCAAGCTTCACCATAATTAAATCATCTTCATTTAAGTCCTCTTCAATTCTTCCATATAATTTACGGAAATTAGGGAGAGCGGCAGTACGCATCCATACAATGAGATCCTCCTGATCACTTAGCTGGTTGATTCCATCAACCCCATTACAAAGAGGAAATATGATTCATGAAAAAGGAGAACATTAGAGAAAAGAATTAGATAGAAGACAAATCCATATACTCGTGAAAGAGAAGGCAAGAATCACAATTTTGAAGTCATAATTTATGCTTAATCTTAAAACAATCTGTCACCAACGAAGTGCTAAAAATTCCAATCTTTAAGCAAGGATTCAAAATAGAGATATGATTGTAAAGACTCAACTCATGAGTGCAAGCTGATATAAAGACTTCGTGAGTGCAATATCTCAACTCATGAGTGCCACATCTAAGAAGATAGTAGTGACTCATGTACACATTCATCCAAGAAAATAAAATTTATAAAGATGCAATTCATAAATGCAATATCTCAACAATGAGTGCCACATGTAAGCATGATACCTAGCAAGAAAAATTAAGTTGACTGTTACGAATTATTTTTGCGCAGTAAAGCTAGAAGGGGAGCCTTAGCGTAAATGGTAACGTTGCTGCCATGTGACCAGGAGGTCACGGGTTCGAGCCGTGGAAACAGCCTCTTGCAGAAATGCAGGGTAAGGCTGCATACAATAGACCACCTGTGGTCCGGCCCTTCCCCGGACCTCGCGCATAGCGGGAGCTTAGTGCACCGGGCTGCCCTTTTAAAGCTAGAAACTGCATCAGGGCAAACAGAGAAACAGCCTCACAGCATGTGGCGGGGAATCTAGAACAGAGCCATAATCGCTTTCCATGATCAGTATTTGGTCTCGGACTGTTAGTAGTGACTCATGTACACGTTCATCCAGGAAAAAAAGAAATTAAGAATGATACTTATTTTCCCACTGGTCATTTATTTTCCGTCTTCTTTAGTCTAAGGATTCTAGCAGAGATATCGACTCTAAAATGAAGGCCAGCGCCTTAATTTATATGCCTTGGTTTAACTTTCAATTTCGTAATAACATATGTTTCATTAACAGAAAAGAATAGTCAAAGTTGCTGCATCAGTCAAAAGGCCTTACAGGAACTTTAGGGTCCAATGTTGCACCACCAATTAAAGACCCACTCTGGAAATTGGATGGATAAACATGCTTCCCAAATTTGTGTTCACGATCACTCCTCCAAGCAATATTTTTCCTGTTGACTTTTAGAGCATCTATTCCACGGAAAAAGGAGTATGTGTCATTAAACAAGCTCCACGCAATCAAACCACAAGGAACAATTGGGAGACCATTATTTTCGCCTTCGGGGTTACAAGAACTTGTATCATTGTACTTTAGTCCATGTAAAAGTTGTTTATCACTTCTGCTTTTAACATACCTGGATTGAAAGAACCAAGCTGAGTCAGAAATGAACAATTCAGAGAATATAGATCACAAAATGTACTTCAAACAGAGGAATCAATTTATGAAAAATGTAATAGCACCGTAGCACTAAACAAGGGCAGCCCGGTGCACAAAGCATCCCGCATTTACGCAGGGTCCGGGGAAGGGCCGCACCCCAAGGGATGTGATGTAGACAGCCTACCCTAATGCAAGCATTACTAGCTGCTTCCACGGCTCGAACCCGTGACCTATAGGTCACACAGAGACAACTTCATCGTTGCTCTAAGGTTCCCCTTCTAGCACCGTATCACTCAAAAAGGAAATAGGTGAATAAAGAAAATTGAGAAAACAAAACGGTACAACTAGTATATAATGCGATAAGAATGTGGCATAACTGAGAAAAGAATCTGTTATTGCAAACATATAAAAAAAGAAAAAGAGAGGAACTTATAAATGTTTAGATAATCAACTAATTTAATGCCAGTAATTCCAATCTTCCATCAACTTCTGTTATTGCAAACATATAAAAAAAGAAAAAGAGAGAGGAACTTATAAATGTTTAGATAATCAACTAATTTAATGCCAGTAATTCCAATCGTCCATCAACTTAAACTTACCAGCAAAAGTTGGTACTTGAAAAAAATGAAAAAAAAGGAGATAAAAGCCTTCACCTTCTGTGGTTCTGGTAATAGTTATCAAGTTGATAATAGACGTAAATTGGAGCTTTCATATTTTGGGGCACCTGCACAAAGACAATTTACAAACACAAAACAGATCAGTGAAAAGGATAAAGAAAAAATTTCAAAACAAGAGAGGGTTGCTCCAATCATGGAAATCCCATCACGAGTAACTTAAAAAGGCAAAGGTTGGCTGTGTTTTCAAAGAAAAATGGAAGGATGCACTATACTGCTGGATGAGCAATCAGCATCATGGATTGAATGCTACAATTTCAAACACGTTATACCTCAATATATGGACACAACAAGGAATATACTATTTCCCCAGCAATACAAGTGAGGGAAAATTTTCAAGAAGTTATTCGTTCTTTTTGTTTCTTTTTATAAGTGAATTTAGAACAATTATTTGTGTAATGCACAAAATTCAGTACAAGACTTGAAAAAAGAGCTAAGAACATAGTTGCACAAAGTTTTAAACTCTGCCCAAATCTATGTCATAAGAACTGGTGAAATAACATTCCCAGAATTTAATAGTTGCACGAAGTTTTAAACCCACGTTAACGCTGCAAGAATGGGCTCCTTAGCTTTTAATAAAGTAACTGAAGTTCCTAATTACTCTATCTATTTAGATTTTTCACAATCCCTATGAAGCAAGTATGCAGTGACATGTGGATGCATGATAACACAAAAATATATATTATTTGTATAAATCACTTTTTTCTAATTCAGCACTTCTAATGGAAATAAAAGCTTACGTTGAAGATCTAGTATAACTAATTAAGATCACCACCACAATGCTGTTTTTAGGTTCAATATGATTTGCAGCAGTTTACTGAATATTTTATTACAGAAACTATTCAACTATTTTGAAACCAGTGGTTTCCCTTTTTTGAAAGAAATTGGAAGGGTTTGGCTTCTTCAGACCAATGGAGGAAAAAGGACATTCAAGCTTTCCTTGTTCAACAAAGAACTCCGATAATTAATATAGTTTCCTTCTTTTATTTTCTTGCGTGTATGTAAAGCTCTTCCGAAAGTAAAAGAAAAAGGAGGAAATTTTTTCAAAAGATGCACTTTATCATCATGCATCAGCTAAGAATGCTGCTATTGCTGCTTTTCAGAATCAGGTTTGGTGAGTATCTATCACAGAACCTCATTCCTAAGACAATAATACTGTAACGACCCGGCCGATCGTTTTGAGTATTATAACCCCGTTTCCCCATTTACTGCTCAAATTGTACTTTACAGTTGTTGTGTGACTTGTCGGGGCAATTGGTTCGGGTCCGGTGAGGTTTTGGAATNAGTTGTTGTGTGACTTGCCGGGGCAATTGGTTCGGGTCCGGTGAGGTTTTGGAATGAATTGGAACACTTAGTTCCAAGGTTTAAAGCTTAAGTTAAAATAGTGACCGGATGTCGACTTATATGTAAACGACCTCGGAATTTAATTCTAATGATTCCAATAGCTCCGTATGGTGATTTTGGACTTAGGAACGTGTCCGGAAAATTATTTGGAGGTCCGTAGTGGAATTAGGTTTGAAATGCCGAAAGTTGAATTTTTGGGAAGTTGGACCGGGGCGGTGACTTTTTTATATCGGGGTCGGAATCCGATTCTGAAAATTTGAATACCTCTGTTATGTCATTTATGACTTGTGTGCAAAATTTGAGGTCAATCGGACGTGAATTGATAGGTTCCGGAGTGGTTTGTAGAAACTAGAAATTTCAAAGTTCATTAGGCTTGAATTGGGGTGTAATTCATGGTTTTAGCGTTGTTTGAGGTGATTTGAGGGTTCGACTAAGTCCGTATGATGTTTTAGGACTTGTTGGTATATTTGGTTGAGGTCTCGAGGGGCTCGGGTGAGTTTTGGATGGTTAACGGATCATTTTTGGCCTTGGTAAAATTGCTGATATTTGCTGCTGCATTTTTCTGATTTTCTCTTTCGCGTTCGCGAAGAGTTTTTTCTGAGTGTGAGGTTTTGTTCTTCGCGTCCGCGAAGGGGAGGACGCGAACGCGAAGGTATGGTCTGTGTGTACATCGCGAACGCGTGAGAGGTGTCGCGTTCGCGAAGAAGAGTGAGGCTATTGGGGACCCCCGGGTCCTTGTTCTACGCGTTCGCGAGGTGGTGGTCGCGTTCGCGAAGGTCTGAGCTGGTGAAGCTTCGCGTTCGTGAAGCCGTGGTCGCGTTCGCGAAGGGTAAGATTTGCAAAGCTTCGCGTTCGCGAAGCTACGGTCGCGTTCGCGAAGGGTTAAATTTGTGGGCAGTCGAGTTGTGCTTCGCGAACGCGAGGGACCTGTCGCGTTCGCGAAGAAGAGAGGTCTGGACAGAGAGTTTAAGTTCTGAAAATGGGACTTCGGTTTTTGACGGATTTGAGCTCGGGAAGAGGCGATTTTTGGGAGTTTTTCAAGGGAAACAACGGGGTAAGTGTTCTTAACTCAATATTGGTTAAATTACCCGAATCCATGGTTGTTTTTATCATTTAATTGGTGAATTAAGTTGGAAAAGTTTGAAAACCCTCTTAGTTTAAATTGTGGATTTGAAGGCCGAGTTGTAGTCGGATTTGAGTAATTTTGGTATGGTTGGACTCGTGGTTGAATGGGGGTTCGGATTTTGTGAGTTTTATCGGATTCCGAGACGTGGGCCCCACAGGTGATTTTTGGGGCGTAATTTCGAATTTTTGGAAAATATTAGTAATTTGATATGGAATTAATTCCTATAATTTTTGTGAGCTGAATCAAATTAATTGTGGTAGATCTGAGCCGTTTGGAAGTTGATACGTGCAGAATGGAATTTCTGGAGCATTGCTTAGCTTGCTCGACATTGGATTTGGTTTGTTCGAGGTAAGTAACTCTTCTAATCTTGGAGTTGAGGGTATGAACCCTGAATATATGTATTTCGTGAATTGTTGGGAGGTGACGCACACGCTAGGTGACGGGCGTGTGGGCGTGCACTATAGAAATTGTGACATAATTGTTTCTGTAGAATTTTGTAGTTAAATGATCTTGGCATTTTCCATGTGGTTTTATGAGTTAAAGAAATTGAGCTGAAAAGCATATTAAAAACCATGTTGAGGTTATGTGCCAGTATTATTGGGACCCACATAGGTCATATTGTTGTGAATTATTTATTTTAAATTGAAAATTCATACTCAGTCATATTCATTTCATTGAATATCATATCTCAGTCTCTGTTGTTATTTATTGATACATCATATCATCATTTTGGGCTATTCTCATGACATTGTGAGCCCATGAGAGAGAGACTGGAGAGATTAATGACTGAGGGAGGCCGAGGGCCTGATTGTGAAGATATTTTTTTGGGATCGGGCTGCACGCCACAGCAGGCCATGTTGGCTTTATATATATTATACTATTGCACGTGAGTTGGCCGTGCAGCACGTGAGTTGGCAGTGCGGATCCATATATTATACTATTGCACGTGAGTTGGCCGTGCAGCACGTGAGTTGGCAGTGCGGATCCATATATTATACTATTGCACGTGAGTTGGCGGTGCAACACGTGAGTTAGCCGTGCGGATCCATATATTATACTATTGCACGTGAGTTGGCCGTGCGGATCCAGATATTATTATAGCATGTGAGTTGTCCGTGCAGCACGTGAGTTGTCCGTACGGATCCAGATATGATATAATAGCATGTGAGTTGTCCG